GAGTGGTGGTAGGGACCCCATCTTCTCTGTGGGTGGTTTCAGTCAACAGCAAAGGAGCTGGTGGTACTGATGACTGTCCATCTTCCCCAGCTCCTTGCCGAGGTCTATGATGAGCCCGCACATGGTTTTTGAGAGCAGCTGCATTGAACAGCTGTTTGGAACAGACTGAGCAGGGGTAGACACCTGTCTGATGGCTCTTTCGATGGTTGATGAGGCTCCCAGCATGCCGGTATGTACGGCCACAGTCCCCACAGCGGAAAGGCCGGTATTCTTCCAGGCCACTGTCTTCCAGCTCCCCAGAAGTGCTGAGCTCCCCAGAGCCATTCAGCATCTGTATACTAGGTAGCTGGTCCTGGCTGCTCTCATCTGTGTGACCATTGGTAGTGGGCATCCCTTTCTCTTCCCACGGTTGCTCCTGCCTTTCAACCTCATGGGACTGCTGGTGCTCCAACAGATCCCGGGGAAGCCGGAAGGCACGAGGGCAATAAGGACAGTGGTAAGGCCGATATTGGGCATGTAGTCGGGAATGGTTCTTCAGAGCCATGAGGTTAGAGAACTCCTTGAAGCAGATGGCACAAGGATAAACACCCAGGGTGTGGCTCTGGCGATGATTGGTGAGGCTACCAGCATGCTTGTAGGTCTTGCCACACTGACTGCACTTGTAACGCCGTTCCTCCTCGGCAGGAGGAGACTGGGTGAGCTCTTGTCCCCCAGTGAAGTTCACTACTGATTCAGCCAAATACTGTTCCAAATTGCTAAGGAGGCTGCTTGCTGGGGTGGGGAGAGGTGGGGTTCTGGCAGAATTGGTGGTAGACCCCCAGACCTCTGCAATCTCCTCAGAATCTGGTTGATTTTCCCAGCCTTCCCTTTGTCTGGTAGGCAGATCTTCCCAAGTGCCAGAGGTTGCTCTAGGGTCAGATCCAGACTCACAATCAGGTGTGTCTTTTGTATGTTTTGTCTGGTTTCCCCAGCCTTCCCCAGGGCCAAGCTTCTGGCCCCAGGAGTCAGTGGACACTGCCTCACTCTGGACATGTGGAGTGGCTTCTTTGGGGCGGGGAGGCCTGCGCCTGCGCCGGCCTTCAGGAGCATGAGTCCTCATGTGGCTCTTGAGGGCCATGGGATTAGTAAAGTCCTTGCCACAGGTGGTACAAGGGAAAAGGCCAGTCTCGTGGGTTCGGCGGTGGTTGACCAGGCTCCCGGGGTGACGGTAGCCCCGCCCACACTGCTGACAGCGATAGGGACGAGGGATGCTGTCAACTTCCTCACTATCCTGATTGGGAGATGGATGGAGCAGTTCTCGGTGCCGTGACAGTTCTGGGATACTAGGAAAGTGACGCTGACAGTCAGAGCAGCTAAGTGAGAGGGGTGTGTCCTCCATGGGTCAATGTGACAGAAACCTGGAGGTTCAGGAGGAACAGACAGGTGGCAGCAGCATCTTCTTCTGGTGGAGGAGCCAAGGCCTAGGAAGATGGGGTCGTTATCAAAAAAAGGCCTGAATTAACTTTGACTCTTGTTTCTATGAGCCACACATTCACTAGAGGTCACTGAGAGGTTACCTAACCATCAATGCCCACTGATCTACTTTCTACTAGATCTAACCTGGGAGCACCATCATTTAAGGCCTATGCACAGCTCCCCAAATATGGGAGTTCCTCTAGGCTTAAGTCATACCAAAAAGATAAGGGAATAGAAGTCTAGAGAGTAACTCACTTCTGATCATAGACCTAATATCATGTCTTTCAGGCCAGATTCAAAAGGTTTACTGTTCCCAATCTTATATTCTCTATAATTCTGTGAAAACAAAAAACTTCTATGACACCTGAAAAAGGAAACTAGAATTGTTCCTAGGCTTCAGAATAAGAAAGTCCAACCCTTTCTCCTTTATCCTTCAACTAAATAAAGTAACCTGGAAGCACTGGAAAAACGGCTACTTTCTCCATCAATAACTAACAGAAATATTTAAAAAAAGAAGTCATCTACAGAGAAGGGAGTGGTTTGTTTCCCCCACTCATTCCTAGTCCTTTCAGTGTCTCAAGGTCTTCTTTCCCAAAACTCTCTTGCCTACTTTTACCTACTTCCCCCAAACCCCAACTGTCTTCCATTTTTTGGGGAAAAAAAATCTCATCTCGTTTGACACTTTGAATTTCATTTCATCTCCTATTTTCTAGTCCGAGTCGACTTACTTTACTCTCACCATCCTTTCTCATTTTTTCTTCTACTACTTTTCAATACTGATGACAGTACCTCATGCTGAACACTACCATGTGCCAGGCACTGTAAATATATTCACTGTGTCACTAAATCCTGACAACACTGCAATGCCAGTTAACTCAGTTTACACATGAGAAACACACTGAGGCAGTCTTCACCTTAAAGCTCTTGTTTTCTTAGTAAGAGCCCCTCCTGCCTCCTAGTCATCTTGGCCTTTCCAATTCTGACTATTCACTCCCATGGGACACCAATAGAATTCATCTCCGACTTTAAACCCTTTCACTGAATCTGCCCCCAGAATTCTCACTTCCCAAAGCTCCTTCTCTCAAGAGTCCCCTTCCCTAATCAACCACCAACGAGGTCCTCTATCGTCACTCATCTCTTCTGCCAATTTCCTCTTAGGACCCCTACCTTGCACCGCCGACCCCTTCCCGTTCCCGCCGCGGGCGCGTCCGTTGGGAACCGCGAACGAGAGCGCGCCTGCGCACTGGGACCCTTACCCTAACTGCAGCCGCGCGCCCCAGGGGGTGGCCTTGGGGGGGTCTCGCGCTCCTACACACGAACAGTCAGCCAGGGTTCCCAGAAAGGGGGAGCACAGTGCAAGAAGAAAAGACGGAGGTGAAGGAAGAGGAAGGTAGAGAGAAGAGGGCACAGCTGGTAGGATCCAGAACTCTACCCCCCACCTCCGCGGACACTTCCTATTGTTACTAGGAAACAGGAAGTGTCCTAGATGCAAAATCTTCCCCGTGAAACTTCCGCTTCGGGAACACTTCCTGTCCCACCTCCAGGCTGCAGTTCTACACAAACACACTTCCGGTGCCAGGTTCTGGCTGGGCGTGACTCTGGCTCCGCCCACGCAGGTCACAACGTTGTGCTCCTTCTCACTACCTTAGCCACAATTTGGTCCAGAGCGGCAAAATTGTTCCGATGCATACTGAATAAGTGCGAGTTTGGGGGGAGTTCTTCAGGCCTGGCCACAGTACTATGGTGACACTTTTTGTGGGACTCCCAAGACAGATGGGGAAAGCTTCATTAAATTCACTCCTTGCTATTAAAGGAAACGTGAAGTAGAGGGTTTAGATACCACAAAACTTTATCATGGCCTTTCTGTCCTCCTATCTTCTAGCTCTTGGAGACACTTCCGGTGACCTGGCCAATACATACAGTCGGCCCGGGCGTCCCCTTGCTTTATTGCTTAGAGACCCTTAGCAAGATGTTTCCGCCACCATAGGCGGGGGTGCTTGCGTAAACTTTTCCTTCTCTTAAGCGGAGAAAGCTCTCTCTCTCACTTCCGCTCTCTGGCCTGCTGGCCCCGCCTCCCTGCCCCCCGCTGGGTCCTAGCGCCTTCCCCTTTCTGGTAGTGTTCTGGGCTCTGTTGGTGCGTGAAGCCGACGCAGATGCCACGGAGCCAGTCCAAGTCGGATCAGGTAGGAGACGCCTGCGGGAAGTCGCCAAGACCCTGGGCAGCCCTAGCACGGATGCGGTCAAAGCTGGCCTCAGTTTTCCTGTGGGCACCGGAGGACTGGGTTGGCTCGACGCGAGCAGCGCGGGCGGGGCGGGCGGCAAGCGGCCCCAGGCGGGCTCCGGGCCCAGCAGGTCCTAGAACCCGCCGGCTGTCCCCGCGGGCCGGCTACTGTGGACTCCTGGGCTCGGCCTACGCGGCTGCCGGCCTTGCGCGGTGTGGGCCCAGGGGTCCTAGAGCCCGCCATGTTGAGGGCTTTTGTCTTAGCTGCGCGGCCCGCCAAGTAAGGTCCCTAGCGCCTGTGGCCCCCCTCCCAGGCGGAGGCCCTGACCGCCCCTCCCGCGGTCCTAAAGAACGCCATTTGCGGGGCTTTGTCCCGCTTTTGGCCCTCCTTCCATTCATTTGTTCATTCCTTCATTCTTCGTTTACTTTTTCTTATCACGTTCTCCAAGGCCACGTTTTCCTAGGGTTCATTCCGAAACGAGTCAGCCCGGGGCCCTGCCCTGCGGGGACTGCCTGTCTGGTGAAGGTACCCACACAGATGGTTATAGGGATTGAGGAGCACAAGGTTTCTGCATCTCTTGGCCACTCCTCAGGTCGTCTAGTAGGCTCTAATGCCCTTCAACTCCCTTATACCTCAGCTGTCGCATTTTAGCAATGCCGAGATAGGCCGAGAGCGCTGTGGATCCTTTACTTTTACTGCCAACTAGGTATTATTGGGAGCATTGGAGAGGGAGTATTTGAGTGATGCAAATGAGTTTTCCCTTGGGAGAAGGGGAGCATGGGCTTCTTGGCAGAGGGAATTGCATATAGAAGGGTGAAGTTTGAGAACAATTGTGGCCGGAGCTTTGGTCGCTGACCCTAGCGGGTCACTGCCACTGAAACTGAGGCTGGAAAAGTAGATTGGGATCAGATTGTGAAGGTTTTAGGCCTAGCTATGATTAATGCTCACCTCTCCACAGTTGCATCAACTCACCAGATCTCTCCTGGCCTGAGAGGTTTATGTGATGACTACTTTCTTAAAGATGGGGAGACTTAAATGCCTCCTTTTTCACCTCATCCCTGCTTCCAGACTAAGCTTTTGGGGGAATTCAATCTCTGCATATCTTGTGATTACAGGTAACAGACTTGAGAGGTGGGCACATGAGATTAAGAGATAATTCTGTAGCCTGGGCCCACTGTGCTGGTCCCCACATGCTTGCTTTTAATTCTTTAAAATTTTATTTACTTATTTAGGGTACTGGGGATTGAACACAGGGGCGTTTGACCACTGAGCCACATCCCCAGCCCTATTTTGTATTTTATTTAGAGACGTCTCACTGAGTTATTCAGGGACTTGCTAAATTGCCAAGGCTGACTTTGAACTGTTGGTCCCCCTTCCTCAGCCTTCTGAGCTGCTGGGATTACAGTCCTGTGCCGCTGGGCTGGGCCCACACTCTTGCTTTTTTAAAAAAAGTTTACATGTGGCCCTGCCTAGCTTAAGTCAATAGGACTGTTATATTCTCAGCAATAGCCCATTACCTGCAGAAGAACTAATAGACCCAGAAAGGACAAAAAGAAGAATACAAGTTACCCTGAAGTCCCTGAAGGGACATTTTGACCTTTATACCAACCAAAGATTCTGGGTCAGAAAGAGACAGGATTTCATAGGTTCTGACTCCTTCCTAGTCACTGGAACCTTCCTTATCACATCATAAGGGAGCAAGACTTCCTAGGGTAGACAACTGCATCTTCCCAATTTCAGAGTGGGGGTGGTGTCCAAATTCAGCGAGTTTCAACCCCCTTAAGAATCCCGGACTTTGTGAAAAATATGCTTTTTTGTCCAGAGACAGTTCAGGTCACTCCACGGCCACACTGTACTCATCTCTCTTATTTCATTTTCCCAGATAAACTACTTGTCGATCTGTATAACCCACCCAAAACCTTTGTGTGAGTTTGTAAAGAACCAGCTGTCTTTAGGACCCAACATCTGCCTTGAGGCCCTGCAAGCCACTTTTGGCTGCAGCTCTGAGGGCGGCAGACATGCTACAATGTTCGGTGTCTCCACCAATTACTTTACTGATTAACTCCTATTATTTTTTCTGGTTATTTTTTTAGATCTGCCTTTTCTAAACTCTTTTTCAACAACTTGGCCTGTGATAATTAAAAATTTCTGGTCAGGGCACACTGTGATGAAATTGGAAGGTCTTGATTGGAATCCATTTACCCACAGCCCTTTATGGGGTAAGAGCCTGAGGCTTACATTTTTGGTCTTTTTGGTGGACAGACATTGTCTTATGGCAGTTGAAGGCTTCCGGCCAGGTTACTCTGACATGCCTGAAGGCTGGCAATTATAAGTCCCTGAACACCCATGCCCTTTAGGGTAAAAAGACCACTTAGTCTTCCTTTTGCCCTCTCATCTTTACCTCTGGACCAGCAGAACATCATGGGACCTCACTCAGGGTTCAAATCAATGGGAACTCTAATGCACATTAAAGGTAAAAAGCATTTTTAATCTCTTTGGTTTAAAGTACTTCAATCTAAAACTCCTTATACTGCATTACAGGATTACCTATAGGTTTCTTTGCTGCTTGATATCTGCCCATCTTAGGCTTGCTATCCTATTTGGGCCACTGGGACTTAAATGTTTGTTCTTTCTATTCTTTTATTTAATATTTTTTTTAGTTGTACATGGATACAATACCTTTTTTTATTTTTATGTGGTACTGAGGATTGAATCTTCTACATGGAAGGCAAGCATTCTACCACTGAGCTACAACCCCAGCCCAGTTGTTCTTTCTTTTTTTGTATTCTGGGATTATGTTCTTAATAAATTTCTCTCTAAATGCCAGAGTGGGAGGGGGAAAGGTAGAGAGACTGAACAGACCAGCTAAAAAAAAACTCTGGGTTTTTTCAGGGATGCTCAAGAAGACCCTTTAGGTATTGCCTTAGGGACAATATAAACATTGCCCAAAGTGCAGGTAGGTCAGCTCCAAAATTTCAGAGCACCAAGCAAGCCAACATCAGGCCCAGGAACTGGGAATGTCAGGGGACACTCACTTTTCATAGATGCTCTTTTCTATCCAGATATAAAACATTGACAAAAGGGAAAATCCATGTTTCTTTTTCTTGAAAGCCTTTTTCTATGGTCTACCCTCTCCCCTGATCTCATAGGCTCTCATACTTTCTAAATGTCTTGATTGACTCTGATCTAATTCAAAAGTGCACTCTTGTCTAATATAAGTATTCTCTGTGTTTTTGTTTGTTTTTGATACTGATGACTGAACCCAGGGATGGTTTAACACTAATCTACATCCCCAGACATTTTTATTTTCATCCATTTATTTATTTATTTATAATTGTAAGTGGATACAATATCTTTATTTTTTTATCTTTATGTGGTGCTGAGGATTGAACCCAGTGCCTCAGCCATGCTAGGTGAGTGCTCTATCACTGAGCCATAACACCAGCTCCCTTATTTATTTATTTATTTAGGGATAGGGTCTGGCTATCCAGAAAAAGTTGCTGGCTTTGAGTTTGGATCCTCCTGTATTGCCCCCCTGATCTGTTTTTTTTTGGGGGGGGGTGGATACTGGGAATTGAACTCAAGGGCACTGAACCACTGAGCCACATCCCCAGCTCTATTTTATATTTTATTTAGAGACAGGGTCTCAGTTGCTTACCGCCTCAATGTTGCTGAGGCTGGCTTTGAACTTGGAATCCTCCCGTCTCAGCTTCCCAAGCTCCTGGGATTACAGGCTTATGCCACCATTTCAGGCCTATTAGAGTAATTATAGCCATTTCATTTTGGGGAGGAAAAAACTCTGCTTTTTAGAGCTCCTGGGTTTTCTGGCAAATTGACTCTTGGTTCTATATGCCTATATTAATATAGTTCTGATTTGTTTTGTCTAACTGCAGTTTTTGGTTTTTTTGCCCTGTGTCTATCAAATTTTCCCCCTGCTGTCTTTATTCTAAGGCCAGTTATTCAAGGGTTAACTCTCAAATTACCAGAAACTGAAAGAAAAGAGATCTTCCCCCTAAGAGGGCCCTATGGAGAGAATTTAACAGTGGTGATGATCAGAATGAATCTGCCCCCTGGAGGAGAAGTGGCCACCTGAACCTTTGATTTCTGTGTCCACAGTGGCTGACAGACTGTGCTCCAAACACCCCCAGATGTGCAGGCCTTCCCTGTGTCTCAGTCATATTGTAAAATCTATAGCCGGCTCTGAAGCTTTCTTTTGTCCCCTACCTGTGGGGATCTAATACCTAGTAAAAAGCTATAAAATCTGTTTCCTGTATGTTTTTTGAGAGAGAGAGAATTTTAATGTTTATTTTTCAGTTTTTGGTGGACACAACATCTTTGTTTGTATGTGGTGCTGAGGATCGAACCCAGGCCGCACGCATGCCAGGCGAGCACACTACCGCTTGAGCCACAGCCCCAGCCCCTTTCTGTATGTTTTTATGCATAAATTGTCTATTGTTTGTTGTGTCCAAATATTGTTTACTTGGTACCACAACTGGCTCATGAATAAGTGAGTACTCAAAAGTTAGGAAAATGAATCCAGATATCTTCTAGTTCATATGACTTAAATCTTAAAAAAAAAAAAAAAAAAGTTATTTTAAATTGGTTAAAAAGATAAAAATAAAAATCATTAAAATTACTAATTCATGCGTTTTTCTAGGTGGCCAACTAAGTCTCTATAAAATATGAAATGTGTAATGTCCATTGCTTTAGGAATTTTCTTTGACAGGAAATGTACCTAAAATGTTAAATTAAATTTTTTTAGATTTTTTTTTACAGGAAAATGACCTAAAATGGTAACTATGCTTGCCTGATATCTTGATTTTCATGGTTAAATTAGGTTTAGGAGCTGGGGTTGTCTCTCAGAGGTAGAACTGAGACATTTAGAGCACGTGCCAGGCCCTGGGTTCAATCCTCTGCACCACATAAAAATAAATAAATAAAATAAAGGTATCGTGTCCAACTACAACTAAAAAATATATTTTTTAAAAATTAGGTTTAATGTAAATGGGATAAAGAATTATAAATGTATTGTTAGAGGAGGCATCTGATTAATTTGCAAATAAAATAACTAAAACATCAATTACTAAACATAAATTCTCATGTGTGATTTTCTTTTCGGTTGAGTTCTTTTTTTTTTTTGGTACCAGGGGTTGAACTCAGGGGCACTCAACCACTGAGCCACATCCCCAGCCCTGTTTTGTATTTTATTTAGAGACAGGGTATCACTGAGTTGCTTATCACTAAGTTGCTTAATGTCTCGCTTTTGCTGAGGCTGGCTTTGAACCTGTGATCCTCCTGCCTCAGATTCCTGAACCATTGGTATTACAGGCGTGTGCTACCAAGCCCAACAATTCTAATATTCTTGGATTTTGTAAAAAAAAAAAAAAAAATTATTTTTGCATCTATTAATTGCGGTTTTTTAAATATATATATATTTTAGTTGCAGATGGACACAATACCTTTATTTTATTTATTTATTTTTATGTGGTGTTGAGAATTGAACCCAGTGTCTCACATGTGCAAGGCAAGTGCTCTACCACTGAGCCCCAGCTCCAGCCCTATTAATTATGTTTTTTTAAGTTGTTGGTATATTAAAAATATATTTATACAAAAATTATAGGTACAAACTGGGCATAGTGGTGAACACCTGTAATCCCAGTTACTTGGGAGGCTAAGGCAGGAGGATTGAAAGTTTGAGGCCAACCTGGGCAGCTTAGAAAGAACCTGACTCAGAATAAGAAGGGCTAGGGATGTAGCTCAGTGGTAGAGCACCCCTAGGGTTCCATCTTGAGTAACACACATACACAAATTATAGGAATATTTTTTGGTAAGAAAAAATAAAGGGAGATATTTCTGGGTGAAAAAGCATTTTGTATAATAAAGTAATATTTTTTTACCTAAAGTTCAAGATGGGGGAAAAAAAGAAGAAGAAGAAAACAGGACAAAAGTAAGGAGGTAAACAAGTTGTAAAATATCTAAGTTTCAAAAAGTTTGTAGAAGTTAAATCTTAGAAAAATTCTGTGTGTTATTAAGTAGGCTACAATTAACATATCTGAAATAATTTAAGGGTTTTTCTATGGTCAAAATTTAGTGTACTAATACAAAACCAAAATGTTTCTATATCTTAAAAATCATAGGGGTGGAGTTTGTGGCTCAATGGTAGAGCGCTTGTCTAGTATGTATGAGGCACTGGGTTCAATTCTTACCCCAACATAAAAATAAATCAATAAAATAAAGATCCATCGACATTTAAAAAATAAAAAAAAATCATAGGGATTTCTTAAAACATTGATCTGCTCTTAGTTATCAAGATAATTCATTGTGTCTATTAGGTTTCATTTCATAGAAAAAAAAACCTAGTCATAAAAGAATTAGAGTTTGCTTAAGTAATTCTTTTTTTAAAAAAATATTTAATTTCTTTTAGTTACAGGTGGACACAGTATCTTTATTTTACTTTATGTGATGCTGAGGATTGAACCCAGTGCCTCACGCATTCTAGGCGTGCGCTCTACTTCTGAGGCACAACCCCAGCCCTAAGTCTTTTAAATGATTGCTTCATAACTCTGGTTAAAATTCTCATGTTATTACAAATACATTTGATACCCTAAATATATGTGACTAGAGCTATGTGTACATCTGAGGATTAGATATGTATATCTGAGCTTTGTCTAAATGTTATGTAAGAGTTTATGAAATTAAAGATATATAAATGTAACCTATATTAGAAGAACCAATAAGTGTTCTCTTCTGTACAATATACCTTGTATCTGGAACTTAAACATGTAGAAGGGTAAATAAAACTTGGCATTTCTGCCCTTTGTATTTGGTCTGCATATGTTTGCTTTGATTGGAAAATCACTTTATTGTACATAAGAGAGATACTTGTGGGCTGGGATTGTGGCTCAGTGGTAGAGTCCTTGCCTGAGGCATTGGGTTCAGTCCCCAGCACCACATAAAAAGAAATAAAGGTACATCTACAACTAAAAATATTTTTTTAAAAAAGAGAGATATAGGCTGGGGATGTGGCTCAAGCGGTAGCACGCTCGCCTGGTACGTGTGCGGCCCGGGTTCGATCCTCAGCACCACATAAAAGCAAAGATGTTATGTCCGCCAAAAACTAAAGGAAATAAATATTAAAAGATTCTCTCTCTCTCTTAAAAAAAAAAGAGAGAGAGAGAGATACACTTGTACATCAGGTAATAAGTCTTTGTGGCCATTAGCATTATTTCCTAAACTTACAAGAAGTCTAGAACTATCCTTTGATTTTTTTTTTCAGTGCTACATATGCTTATTATTACAGCTATCCTACAAGGTGGATTCTATATTTTATTTAAAAGTTAAAACTAAATTAAGGGCTGGGGTT